GTTACCAGAATGTTATAATAGCCGTTGTTATATTGAAGTAGTAAAATTATTTAATTGACGAATTGTTTGATCACGTTTTAGCACACAGATAATCTATGACTAGTCAATTCGTCCTATTATGTACATTTATAAAATTATTTAAGTGTCTCGCACCCAATGGCACTGGCACTTCGGAAATATTGGAGGTTTAACATGAGGTTAGTGTCATGAGAACAATGTTCAAAGAATGGTAGGGCAGAAGTGTCCGAAAGGGGGTTTCATGGCGCCATCAAAATTTTTGGGAGGTGCACATTTTGACGGAGTATTAAATTTTCGAGGGGAGCGCATTTAGATGGAATTATAAATTTTAGGTGTAAAAAGTTTCAAACCAGGAAACAAGGGAAAACATGGACCAGATTATGGCAAGTTTAATTGTATATGTACTAAGATGTTTCTAATTTTTAAAGGGGATTTCATGGCGCCATCAAAATTGTAGAGTTTGGCACATTTTGATAGGGTTTTAAAATTTCGAGAGGAGCACATTTCGATGGTGTTATAAATTTTAGGTGTGACAAGTTTCTAACCAGGAAACAAAGAGAAAACATGGACCAGACCATATCAAGTGTAATTGTATTTGTACTAAGATGTTTCTAATTTTAATTTGGTTTCATCAAGAAACGTGAAAGAAAGCAATATGAAAGAAAAACGGAAAAAGGTTAAACTTTTTCTCCGAAGAAAAAATGACTCCGAGTATACTATAATCGAGCAATGAATCGTATAATATAATGAAAATGAACAGTCAATACCTTGTATTTCTCAAAGTATTGTAGTTCTGCTTTATTATTGTAATATAGGTTATACTTAACTTATTAATATAATACTGTTTAATTTATACATAACTTCGTCATACAATATTTTGTATTTTTCTCTCCTTTTTTATTGAAAAATGGTGATGTTAAGATAATTAATTTAGACTGAGGCTGTCTGATTACTTTATGCTGCGCATTGCTTCCAACATGTTGCAAAGAATGACCAAAAAAGTAGGATTCAGAAGAATATATGTCCTCCCTCCACCACACATCGGCCGAACAAATAAGGAATAATTAAAGTAAGAATCTGCATCCTATATTATCCATTTTGTTTTTAAATTTATTGAAATGTACAACTGTACATATATATTTTTTTTAAATTCATCAAGTACACGTCATACAATAACTCAACAAACACTTGTAGGAAAATTAGCTGTGGGTAACATAATTCTATGTTAGAAGGTCCCTTGGCAATCATTTTTTCAAATACCTAGGAGGATTATAAAGGAACTGAGGAGCAGGCAAGGACAGGACCATAGAAGCGCCTCAATATCCTCCGTTCAAATACCAACAAACCATTTTAATCTGCCTTTGTCATTGTTGAAGCTTTTGATGTATAGGCCAACAGAGATCTCATGCCTGACCTTAGTTTTCCTTGAGAGCAGATGGTTCTTTAACTGCCTTATCAAGACAAGATAGTAATACCACCATCTTAATTATGTTTTTTGTTAAATGACAATATGTAGAACAGCGAGATGTTAGCAGAGATCCCTTTTCTGTTTGTGTTTTCTTTTTTTTTTTTAATCCACCCCCTCTTCGCCTATTAGGCTATACGAAGGTTTTCTCGGACCGGGGGAGAGGGCGGGGAATTAATGCCAGAGTTAAAACCCCCTCCGACACCGGGACGCGAATTATAAATTATTTTTATCATATTAGTTGCAGTTTATCCGTGCACACGCGTTAGCTCCCTCGGCCACCGCGTGAATTCCTGCACACTTTCCATATTTTGTGGAGCCTTTCTCAAAGACCATTCATTCACTTTGGTAGTTCCCTCCTGCCTCCATTACCATATATTTAGTTTTGGTCTTATTTATCACGAGACCCAGCCGTAAAGTTGGATTGTAAGAAAGGCGTTCCTCAATTCAGTCCTAGATTTCGAAACGATGTCAATCTCATTTGCAAAAACCCAGGAGCTGAATGCTTCGGTTGACACTTGGTGCGTGGTTAGTAATTCTGCATCGTTTGACGCCTTTACAAGACCTAAAATAACGGAAGACATGCCCAGGTGCAAACCTGACGCAGATTCTTGTCAGTCTTAAAATCGTCTAAGCATTGTTCTTGAATCCTGATGGCACTCCTGACCTCATTTATGATCATCTAAACAAGATAAATAAGCTTTCTATGAATGCAATAATTTCATAGCACTAGCGGATCCAGCCGGGGGGAGCGCGCCATCTCCGCTGGAAGCTAGAAAAAGAATGCCAAAAAAAAAAAAAAAAAAACAGCTATTTAAAGAAAAGGGAAATATAGGGAAAATTCATCCTCAAAGACGATAAATATCCTAATGTAAAATAAAAAAAATATATTATCGTGACCAGCACTAGCGAATTCTGTCAGGAGACGCGCCCTCCCATGGATGGGGGAAAAAAATCCGAAAAACTGACAAAAACATCTATCTAAAGAAAAGAGAAATGTAGGGAAAATTCATTCTCATAAACAAATTTCTTAATGTAATACAAAAAAAAAAAATCTATCGTGACCAACACTAAGAATTCTGCAAGGGGGTGCGTCCTCCCTTAGATGGTGGAAAAATTCCAAAAGAGTGACAAAACACCGATTTAAAAAAAAGAGAAATATATGAAAAATTCATCCTCATGGACAAATTTCTAGTGTAATATAAAAAAGACATTACTATCGTGACCAGCATTAGTAATTTCTGCCAGGGGGCGCTCTCCCCTCTGGATGGTAGAAAAAAAGTATCCTAAAAACAGTTATTTAAAGAAAAGAGAAATATAGAAAAAATCATCCTCTAAGAAGAACTTTCTAAAGTGATCAATATAATCATTCTGAGCTCGAAAATCCATTACTGGATCTTGGCTCTTTTCCTCCATGTTTCCCTGCCCTGAGCAGCCTCCACCAGTTCCTGATTCCATAGATTATGATATCAGCACTTACTCTATTTTCCTTCTCAGTTTCGGTCTGTCCACTTTTCTTTTTCCAACCGGCTCCATGCTCAGCAGCTTCTTTGGGATTGAGGTCTTGTCCAGCCGTACAACTCGGCCCTTCGATCTCAACCTTGCTATCCGGATATATTTCACCACATTCGGCTCCTAGTATAAATTAGCTAGTTCATGGTTGCGTCTAATTCTCCATTCACCATTCTCCTTAAATGGGCCAAATATCCTCCGAAAGGCCTTCCTTTCGAAAAGTAATATTTTAAGCAACTGTTTACTTAAAAGAGAAATACATCACCATAGACGAATTTTCTAATGTAATACATAAAAAAAATATAAATATATCGTGACGAGCACTAGTGAATTCTGCAAGGGGCGACTCTTTCCCTGGATGGTGGACGAAAAATTCCGAAAAGCAGTTATTCAAAGAAAAGAGTGATGTAGTTTTTGGGCCGCCATGAGATGCGAAGGCTTGTGCTCCTGTCGCAGTTTGTTCCTATTGACTTCGAACTGGAATACATCTCGCAGGTGAAAGACATGATGGAGGAAAATTTATTTTAAAAAATATGAACTTCATTTATTCTTTCGAACTTCATTCGAGCACAAGAGAATACTTGTTTTCACCCGGACCCAGTTTTTATTCAGTTCCAATAGACCTGGATGCATTGCAAACACAAGCAACTATAGTCTCCTTGAAGAATCCATGCGATTCATAATACTGGTCACGATAATAATTTGTAAATTTTTCATTAGAAATTGTATTTCTTTTCTTAAAATAGCTGCTGTTGGGAACATTTTCATGAGACGAGATACTAATTATTGATCGGAATCTGATAATGATTGGAATCAGAAATTATTATCAGTTTTTGTTCTTTGAGAACTCATTTCCAAGCTGCAAGGCCATTAATTGTAATCTTTATCAGATTTTGACTATGTCGGTAAAAATTAGCGTTCATTGACCGTGGTTATCGATAATATCACTTAACCAAAATATTAAGTTTAGGTATTCGTTCGATGCATAATTTGACGTTCTTTAATTTCTCAAAGAATACTTTTTTCGCTTTGATGCACTGTTTAGTACTAGGTATATGAAATAGATGAAAAAAAAAAAAGATCAAATAAATCTGTTTTTTTTTTTTTTCCTGCTGTAAATAGTTTTCTCTTGATGACCCGGGCCAATGTAAATAGGAAGTCATAATAATAAGACTATTTAATTTAAGTAATTAACGATTGCTTCAATGTAAACCAGGCAAAATTTAAACTCAGCTAAGGAGTGGGGGAGATGGGTAGTGGTGGGAGAATGGATAGGAGTGGGATAAGCACCTGGTACAGAGGTGGGCCCCTCCTCCCCTGAAGAAATTTGTGGACCCGCCACTGTCTCCTAGTGCTTCTAACATTGTAACATGCATTCTTGAAGTCTATACAAATAAAATAGGTTGTCATGTTTTACTAAATTCTCTTATCCTTAATACTCCTGAGAGCAGAGATTTGGTCAACCGCGAATTTCCTTCTTCTAAAGCCAGTTTGTTATGTTCCTTCTTTTTTTTCATCATAGGTGCAATCAGTTAAGTTCAGGAAGAATTTCAGAAGTGAAAACTTCTTTAGGCGCGTTTTACATTTTTTTTAGGAGAGTGAATTAGATTGAGCCATCAGATCTCCGATGTGTAACGCTCGGGTAAAGTCGGATGGAGTCGACTAATCGAAGTGTTTTTGCATTTGGATCAAAATATCTCAAAAACTAAAAATCGGACCTGCATACTGTAATCGAGGGTATTGTTCAGTATTTCTTCTTGTTTGTAATGAGCTATTATTATAATTTAAGTTTCATCTCGCCTGGTTGATAATTTCACATTTATCATGCGGTCTATAGCACGCACCTTAGTTATTTTAATTATTTTATCCTACTTCAATTGAGGTAATTATAAAGAACTTGCTTAAGTATAAAAATATAAATGATAAGTAATATTTAAACACACACATTTTACAGGCATTTATCACAAAAGCCTAGTCAAAATATATTGTATGCTGGGCCTCCAAGATGCCGGAAGTCAATACTTCCATGGACCTGGGCCTAACGCCATCAGAAGAGATGGTCATGCTGGAACAAAAGTACGACTTCTTAAAAATGATCGGTAAATAGCGGAATCATATCGAAAGCCACTTTACGAAAGTCTGTAAGTATTATTAGAAATTGCGGTTTGGAGCTTTTGCTGAACTGCAGCATATGCAAAAGTACAATTCAAACAAAGCTAAGTAAAACATTATAACTTTGTATCAAACATGCAGTAAAAATTGACCGGTAGATACAGTTCTTAAATTTAAAAATATGCGGCCCATTTGATATAATAAATAATTTTATACTTTGTACTTACAGGCTTTTACAGTGTGGCTGATGATATTAAAAAATTGTTTGGCACTAAGTTTTCTCTGATTTTATGTATAAACAAGAAAGTAAAACTTTAAACTTATAATAAGATATAAATGTATTTATTTTTTTAAATTTAATATTAAAGTATTAAGTAATTTGAATACTATAGGAGAAGGAGCCACCGGGAAGGTGTACCTTGTCAACCATAAAGAGGGAGTGAACACTTTTCAAATGGCCTGCAAGATCATTCATACCCAGCATGCTCCGAAAGAGATTGTCGCCAAGTTTCTCCCAAGAGAATTGGACATTCTTCAGAAATTGGAGCATCCCAATATTATTCATATTTATTGTATCTTTAAAGGAGTCCATGGAGATAAGTTTTTAATATTCATGAGGTGATAACTATTATCAAATAGAAAGTTTTAGCTACTTTAAAAAAAAAAATGTTATGTGATGTTGGTTCAATTTTAGGGTGGCCGAATTAGGAGATCTGCTCGATTACGTCTTAGGAAATGGGGAAGTGCCAGAAATGGTTATGAAATGTTGGACTTTCCAGTTAGTTTTAGCACTGGAATACCTACATACTCTGGAAATCGCGCACAGAGATCTCAAGTGTGAAAATATTTTGATAACTAAAAACTACAACATCAAATTAGCAGATTTCGGTTTCTCTCGCTTCATGGTAGATAAAAATGGGAAGAAAGTAAGCTTTATTTTTTAATAATTGTTGTAATTTTAGTTTTATGTTAAGTAAAAAACATTTGTTTCCCATTTTTTGACTTTGTAACCTATTAATGTAAAAACAAAGTTTGGCAAGTGAGGCCAGAATAGCTTCCTCATCATTTCCACTGGTTTCACACTTAGAGGGAAATATTTTATTGAAAATAATGGTGGCCTACTACATAAGATTGCTTTCGATACAGCATACTAATCAACCCTTAAGGGCATAAATATTACATTACATTTGTCTATTATATAATAATAATGCTTTATTTAGTCTGGGATGAGTCCCTGTATATATACATACACATATATTTTTTTTCTCGCTTTTCATAACACTAGTCTTATAAATTATCACTAATAAACCATACCAAACCATTAGCATTGCATAACATATATATTTCGTAAAAAAAAAAAAAAATTACATGCCAGGAATTCAACACTATATCGCTCACATATACCTAGTTCTGTCATAAATAAAGTTACAAATTTTAAACTTTGTTTATATCCTTGAGTATTATTTAGATATTCCTTACCTCTATCAGGTTATTTTCTTTACATGTCAGGATAATAATTCCTTTAGTATGTATTTTTCTTTCACTCAGTTAACATGGACTGGGGTGATAAAGATAACCGAATAGCTGTGATCGCCTTACTCAAAATTGGAAAATGTAGCTCAGGGATTTTCCACACTTTAAAACCTTTGGATCAGCCGTATGTTCGTGTACCGCACTATAAGTAGATATAATGAGACCCTATCTGTATGTGACAGACCTCGACCGGGCCGTCCTCGCACTGTGATAAAGACAAAGCAGTGAGAGCAGTGGTTGCTCGAATCAAAAGAAATCCCACTCGAAAACAACAAATCATCTCTCGGGAAATCCGAATCTCTGTCAGATCAATGTCTCGCACAGTAAAAAGTGAACTTGGCCGCATGATGGCCGCATTTCAAAACAATCGTGATGATTAAAAAATTTTACTAACGAATAACTCATTGCTCACTTTTTCCTTAGTCATGTAACCATTTGTTTTAGAAATATTGTATCCAAATCGGTTGTTTCTATTGGCTAGCGTTTATGTATTTTGTTTGGATGCATTCCATCTGCTGTCGGTTTTCAAGAGAAATCAAAAGGAATTTGGGGAGTTATACATTCGTTTACTGTTGGATTTGCATGAGAGATCTTTATATATACCTTTATATTTAGTATTTTTCTTTTTTTCTAAAGTAATTATCTTTATATATATATATATATATATATATATATATATATATATATATATATATATATATATATATATACATATATGGAAAAAAAGTTTTCGGGCTGAAGCACTCCAAAATTAAATCCTGGATACACTAGAAGTCTTCATCCCACCCTCTGCTTTGACAAATGTTACGCCTTCTTTCATTTCCTTTTACATTTGAGTCTGTGTTTTGAGCTTATAGACATTAGACGTGTCGTGGTCAGTCCTATAAAGCTGTATCTATACTTTTATAGAATACTTGTAATTTTATTACGATTCATTTTAGCCAATTTCATGGCAGAGAAAATTTGATGTTTTTTCCTCTCTAATAAACATTGATGGATATTGCATTAAGTTATCGTTTTAGCATTGAGAAAGTAAAGAGAGTAACGGAATAGTTTCAATTTACAATAAAGCTGTCATTTTTTAGTAGTGTCTCAGCAATCAAATTAGTTGAATGGAGTCCTTTTCCGTTGTGTTTCATAAAACTATTCCTTTTTGACGGAACGTTCAAGTAGGATTTAGAGGAACAACTTGCACTACCCTTATTGTCGCCATAATATCGAATTTCAATTATGCATCCTTAACAATACTTCAAATTATGGAAATCGTCGAATGCGTTTTATTTAAACATCAATAGGCGTTGATTGGTTTGAACTTCAGTTTGGAAGTAGGTGCCGGAGTTGGTAGGGGGGCGTTTTCCAACACGATCTCCTCTTTGCCATCTTCGTTGGATGGGAGAATGGTGAAGTTCAGAACCAAGAATATCACTGCCAACCTTATCTGGAGTAAAGCAAATTTGAAACCTACAAAAAAAAAACTTATATTAGCAGAATATATTTGAAAAAAAAAAAAAAGATTGTACCACAACAACCCTTGAAAGGTCTTGGGTTCAGCACATACAAGGGGAAGTTACGTGTATGGAGTCACCTATTTAAATGAATCCTTTTTTTTTTTTTGGTGATGCTAGCTCAACAAATATTAGACCTAGTACGACGGTTCTTGCGATTGGATTGTGTGGGCGGGGTGGCCGAATGGGCTAACGCGTGTGCACTGCACTGCCGTTGCCCGGCAACCTGACATATGAATTAATGATATAAAAACAGACACGAGTTCGCGTCGCTGTGCCGAGAGAGTCTTTTAAATCCCCGCTCACACTCTCTGGCTCGGGAAAATCCCGTATAGCAGCAGTCTAGCCTGTTCGGTCTTAGTGAATAGATCGTGTCTGTACTTCAATTAGTTTTATTCTTAACTTCCAAGTTTCATTGAGTTTTAAATTACTAAAATATCTAGTTAGTATATTGAAGTATCAGTTTCTAAAATTTCGTCAAATTCGGACGATTGACTTCGAAGTTATTTGAAATCTTAACTTAGACGAGAAGGCAGCCATTGGAGGAGCGACCAGAGCTGATGCCGTGGAGGGGATTCCCATTGACAAGAACTCTGATGGTAAACAATTGCTAATACCAACTGCTGGTTTGCAAAGCTGCAGGATTACGACGACCCCCTGGTAAACAGTCTACATTCTGGTATATTAAGCAAACATAGTCTCATCCTTTGTTGTGACGGCCGGACCGGCTGGACTATTAATATATCATATCTTTGGTAGAATATTTAATTATACAATAGTAAAATTAAATAGAATTCTATTAAACACTGTTGTATTACGCGCTTTTTAATATTTTTGTATTCTATTTTTACGGATCGGTGCTACCTTGGTTAATAATCTTGGTAATTGTCTATTTGTTAAAATTACACTTTTTAACAAACGTCGTCATATTTTTTTTTATCTTTTTAACCACGCAGAACAACTTAGAATAGATTAAATCTATTTAAAGCATTGTTTTAACCTCTATTTATTCTTTAGTCTATTGTTTCAGCTAGTAAATATTACTTTTTACTTGACATTTGTATAATTTATCTCGACAAACATATAGTGCAAAACAAGTCTTGTTTGTTAGTGTTAATAATTAAACTTAGAACTATTATTACATTTATGTTTCTTTAACTACTGGTTATATTGTTTTATCGCATATGGTTATATATTTTTATCTCGCCGTGTATAGTTAAAAAATGTATTATTGTTGGTTTTAAATCTATTGAGTGATCCAGAATTATTATTATTTTTACATTTCGAATTAACTATATAGTTAATTGTTATTTATTTAATTATTGTCTTTTTATTATTTTATTTTATTTTATTTATTTATTTTTTTTTTTATTTTTTTTTTTGTGTTTGTCTATCTATTTATCATTAAATTATTGTTCTTTCATAAGTGAAATATGGAAGCGAAGAAAGGTCGAATTAGTAACAATTCCAAAAAGATACGGCTTGACACGATCGAACCCAATGAAGTACTGCTACCCACTGAAGAAAGTTTGGAAAATGGAAATGAATTAAGTGATCCTATTGTGATGGATCATGGTTCGTCAGATATAATTAAACAACCGGACACTCACTCTCCTATTAAGCTACATTTGGACTACGCTGGAACGATTAAAGATGTGTATGAGAATCAATCTTTATTATCGAATAAACTCACTGATATTGAAAAAGCTGACCTGGACCCAGTCAAGCTTTTAACTATGGGCGCGGAAAATGAGATACGAAAATTGGAAAAATACAGTAAGCAAACGAGAAAGGAAGTGCCAAAACCTCAGAAAGGATAAAAAGGACCAGTATCCATTATATAGCTAAATGAATGTTTAGTAGACAGATGAACAGAATATTTCAAGGTGCTGCTAAAAGGGGGTCCAGTTTTAATGGCAGTTTGGATGATATTAAGTGGACGATGTATGTTTATTATAGCTCATAGCTCTCCTTTTGTTCAGTGTATTTGCAAAAGATTTTTTAAGGAATCTTATATTAGTTATTGTTCAGAAATTGCTGAATGAGTTGTTCGGAATTTATACCATATCATAAAAAAATAGGTACTTTTAATATTGAATGCATTATTCTCTCTACACAAAGAAATGGAAAGAGCGAAACCGAACTGCTTCGCACAGTTTTGAGCGTACATAGGCAACAAGTATGTTAGAAAATGATATGAAAGGACTGTGGTTTTTATCTTTTCAAGAAAGGAGATACCAGGAAATGTAATACCCATCAAGATCCATTCCTGTTTAGTGTACCAAACAAATTATACTCAAGAATCGTAGAAGCTGGAATAAGATCTTGAAATATTCTGTTCATCTGTCTACTAAACATTCATTTAGCTATATAATGGATACTGGTCCTTTTAATCCTTTCCGAGGTTTTGGCACTTCCTTTCTCGTTCGCTTACTGTATTTTTCCAATTTTCTGGTTCAATTTCGCGTTTTTCCTCATTTTGATACCAAAAACAAACAATCAGTTCTGATTTATAGAAGAACTTATAGCGTCACCCTTTCTAACTTTATTTGTGCAGAGAGAATAATTCATTCAATATTAAAATTTCATATTTATTTATGATATAGTCCAACTTTCGCACAAAATAAAGGAAATAAAAATTAATTTTTTAATTAGTGATATATGAGTTTTACTAAACAATCCGGTAGCTATTTATTATATATAGTTCAGATTAGGTATATATTATTTTAGTTTATAAAACAGGTATTAAAATGACTCATTTCCTGGGAAGTATATATAAATTTTAATTACCTCTAAGAATCAGTAAATATACAAAACACAGTGTTAAATTGCAAACGTTAAATTAAAAAAAAATCAAGATATTTAGCAAAGTATTTTTTAATTAAGTT